CGCTCTTCTCCTCCGTGGAGACCGACTGAGCCCGATGGTTTCCAAATGAGCACGCCCAGAAGCCGGGCAGGTTCTGAAGCTCTGGCTCTCGAGCTGCTCTGCCGTGCGTGAGGCGTGTTTTGATGGAAGGGGGCGGGCTGAGTGAATGAGATTCTCACCCCCAAAATGTTGATTTGCAGCGCCTTGTGGCAGTGCTCCTGAGAAGCTAGGGAAGCTGCGTGCTGGATGTTTACCAAGTGCTGAATAACGCGTAGCAGTGAATCACACACAGATTTCCCTTTCTTCCTATTAGAATTATTGTAAGCAATAAATATGATTGGCCAAAAACCAAAAATAACTCCAACAGATGACGGTACAGTGAGGTATGAGGCGGCTCCATATCCAATAACCAAAGCTTACACGCTGAAGTTAGTTTCCAAAAAGTTTTAACTGCAATGTGTTGCAGCAAGCAGCGTACTAAGGCCTTTAAAGAAAACCAGAAAGAAAAAGGTGGTTAAAAACCAATGCTTAAATGTAGCTCGTTTAAATGAAATCCAAAGTTTTATCTGTTTGCTATAGAGATGGAGCCACCAATGACAAATGGTGACAGGTAACAGGAGAGAGGATGGGTGAGCAGTTTTTGTTCTCCGTTATACCTAATGAACTGGATGAAATAATGGAGCAGAAATGCAGCTGAGGGGACCCTTGGTATCACCACAGGCTCCTGCAGGAGGAGGGGTCCCAGCCTGGGTGACAGTCCCAGGTACCTGGGTAACGGGTGTTTGCTGGTTCTCTCTCTGCAGGCTGGCGCAGAGGAACGAAGCAGCCCTTCCAACCTGTTGTAACTGTTCCTGGCTTAGCTTTGCTTTCCCGGTTTCTGTTTTGTTACCAGTTTGCATGTGTGAAAAAGGAAAAAAAAGAGACAATATTTGTAAGTTCAGGACAAAAAGGGAAACTGACTGAAGTGGTGAAATCAAACGGATCCCACTTACAGCTGCCTCTGTCTCCCCAGACAAGAGCAACCCTGTTCCTTGTGGTGAGGAGAGGGGTGGTGGCTTCTCCTTTTCTGGGAACACCTTTCCCTTCCGCTGTTCTGGTTCCTCCAAACAGTTTCTGCCTCCGTACTAATAATATGAGGCTTCAAAGTCGTTCCAGAGGTTTCCTTGAGGTCAGCAGGGTCCCATCACTAGTTGTGCTCTCGGGGCACAGGACCGACACAACGGATGTGTTACGTGGTGGTTGTGCTCTGGATTTTGCTCTCGTGAGTTCCTGCCTACCCAGCTACAAACCCAGCTCTGCGAAAGCAGGGGCTTGGGCTTCCACGCAGCCTGTGGCGCTTGCAGCACAACACAGCAGGCCGACAGCACCCGGTGCGTCACTGAAAGAGGGTCGTTTTCATTAAAAATCACTAAATACCGCTTTGACACGCTGCTGTTGGGCTCCCGAGTTAGGCAGCTGTGCCGAACAGCGAGCTCCTGCTTGTGGAGCGGGGTTTGCACCTTCAAAGCGCGTTCCTTCCTGCGAAGCTGCTGCCTGTGCTTCTTCCCAGCTGAAAAAAACCCCAACGCTTCTCAGATCAACCAACTTCCTCACAAGGACCGATGGATGTCTTCCCCGAGACAGGACCACTGGAGTGAGCACGTTTTGGCCATTTGCTCCTCGTTGCCTCACTGACAAAAAAAATCTCCTTCTCACAGCCTTGGTGAGTAGGTGTCCTACCCGCACAGCTCTTTGCAGCGCCTGTAAGTGAGGGACCTCTGGCTTCCACTCAGTGTAATTTTTCTGCTCTTCTAAAAGGCAAGGATGGATGCGGGCGCCGTCCTCCCGCTCCCCACGCTGGACGGCTCCACCTTGGGGACGCAGCTCAAGCACAGTGTGCTGCGGAGGGCGTTTGTAGCCTGAAGCGATTTCCCTGAGCTTCCCCTAGATCTCAGAAACACTGTATGTTGTAGGTACATGAGGTTGTTTCTCGAGATAGATGTCTGATTTTTTTGTGTTCCGTACCGAGATGCTGGTGATCCGTAAACCCCTGCAGACAGTAATAAGAGGGAGGACATTTACCCTCAGCGCGAGAAACGGGATTTCTCTCGTTGGGAGGTGGAGGCAGCTTTGTGTTTGAGCCTTGCTGCTTCTCCCTTTGTTCCCAATTTGCTGTTTTAACTTCAGCCGTGGCAGCGCATCTTAAAGGGCCTCTTTCACACACAGGTCTCAGCCATTCCATCGTCCCGCTGTTCCCAACCTGTTGCTTTCTGATACCTCTCTTAGATTCCTTCTGTACTCGGGCGCTTGCCTCAAAAATGACTGAAATGAGCCCAATCGCACCGCTGGCTCGGGCAGCGTCTCCCCGCGTTGTCCGGAGGAGGAGGATGAGGATTACACTGCCAGAGCAGCCAGGAGGAGCGCCGAGGCGGCTGTCGCATGGGGACAGCGCGTTTCCAAACTTCAGCTGTGACTGATGGCGCCGCTTCCCCCGACTCAGAGCCACCTCGCCCTCTCCCTGAAGCCTGGTTTCCTTTACATTCGTTCTCGGGGATTTTTATTGTTGTTCAATTTTTTTTTTGGTGGGCTTTTTTTAGCTTTACCCATGCTCCATAGCGTGCTGTGCTACAGACAGACACCTCTAGGCCCTTCTGCTTTGACATCAGATTTGGTAATTAGTGGGGGGGTCATTAAGAGCACCGGCTCTCCCATGGCTGGGGTAACGCCTCTCTGTCCCCGCCGCCGTGATGAGAGGCCGGCTGGTTTCTCACGGCCGGGCTGGGGCTCCTCGCCAGCCCTCAGCCCCCTCTTTGGCTTTTCCTGACGCTTTTCTTTTTGCAGGCTGTCCCTCAGCCGGAAATTTTATCTTTGTGTGGTGGGAATTTCACCTTTGTCTGGTGGAATTTTTACTTTTGTCTGGTTGAATTTTTACTTTTGTCTGGTGGAAATTTCACCTTTGTGTGGTGGAAATTTCACCTTTGGTGGAATTTTTACTTTTGTGTGGTGGAAATTTCACCTTTTTGTGGTGGAAGTTTCGCCTTTGTGTGGTGGAAAT